CGCGTCTATGTACTCCATAAGATCCACTCTGATCAGGTCCCAGAATCCTACCCAAAACTCCTTCGGGAAGGAGTCGATCCCCGACGTTTTCTCGTTCTCCATATCTTGTAAGGCGTCCCAGACCTCCTGCGAGGTTATGGGCTCGTCCAGGGTGGCTTTTTGCTGCTGTGTTAAGGAGGAATGGACTGCCTGAAGAAGCGATTGCCTCGCTTGGTGGACCTGGTTTGGGTTTTTGGTCGGAGTTTCGGACGTAAATAAGTTGCTGTAATATTTGGCCGCATAGTCCGTGATTGCGTATGCTGTGGTCGCTGGCAAGGCATTACTATTCAGAGGGTGATTCAGTCTGGGGACCGTGGCTGCTCTAGATCTGGCCCTGGCTTTTGCAAAGAAGGTTTTTGCCATTGTGCCGTCTGTGTGCTGTTTTTTTATTTTAGCCTGCACCCTCCACGCTTGCGCCTGCTGTTTGACATATGTCTGAAGGTGGTCGCGAGCCTCTTGTAGTTTGTCATAGGAGGGACGGCGTAGCGGGTCTTTCATAAGTTCCTCGTCCCAATCCTCCACTTGCCTCATGAGGTTTTCCAGGCATGCCTTGCGATCCCTCGCATGCTAAATGGAGAATTTTTTCGCTCTTTCCCTGAGTTGTGCTACCCCCTCATTGAACCAATTCACCCTTTCACCAGAAGCAGGTTTCGGGGTCTGCCAATATTTCCAGAAGTTTAAAGCTGGGCAGGGGGAGCAGGGAAGCATTAAGCTTATAGAACCCCGACCCTCTCTGGATGTGGTTGTGAAATGACAGGCCCAGTGTTATCATCCTGTAATCAAAGGACTTGCAAGGGCTAATCGTTGTGATTTCTGCCATTGTTACGAGGCCCATGATGTCTTTTGATACCAGCGTGAGGTCAATGCGTGAGTTAGCTAAGCCGAGGTCGCCTCTTGACGACAAGCAAGTATAGGCTCTGTGGGTGGGGTGAAGTATTCTATATGCGTCTTCGAGTTGTCTGTCTGCCATCATTTGTTTGAGAATGCACCTATCCGGGGCCTGGGCAGATATCGACGAGGACGCAAGGTCGTTGTGTCTAGTTGTGGTACTTCGGTCCATAACCGGATCAAGTGTGGTGTTAAAGTCTCCCGCTAGTATGAGAGGAGCATCTTTTGGCAGAAGGTCATGGAGGGCGAGCCAAAAATCCACTCTGGCTATAGGGTCATTGGGGGCATACACGTTTACCAGATAAAACACCTCCCCCTCACACCGCACCTTCAGGCAGATCCATCTGCCATGCAGGTTGTCGCACTCCACCTCCAATGGTGTAAGCTTTGATGACGGCGGGAGCCATATTGCGACTCCTGCCGACGCTCTATCCTTTGTTGGCGCAACGTACAGTGTATACGGCCAGACTGCTTTCGCTTTTGCATTGTGTGCCGGCGTATCCTGCAGATGAGTTTCTTGGATGCATATTGCATCTGGCCAAACTCTTGTTTCCGGGCACCTGAGCAAGTTCCAAATTGCGTCCTTTTTCGGTGTAGATGCCTGGATGAGACCATTGACATTCAGAGATCGGATGTCAATATCAGCTTGCTCCAATTTCGTTTTCCACTGAGGCTTCCTCCTGACAGGGGGGAACAGTATGGGAGGTGGAGGGCATCGCGGATGCGAGTGGTTGTCAGTGGGAGGTGGGGGAGTCGGGAGGGCGGAAGAGTGGTGGTTATCAACGGGGAGCGAGGGAGGCCGATGGCCGATGGAGTCTGTGGGGCGGGTGGGGAGCGGGTCTGTGAAGTGCTGCGTCCTTCCAGGAGGAAGAAGTGATCGGTGTGTCGGACCCCACATGCAGTTCGCCATGGCAATTGTAGGGTCCCGCCCGTATGCACGCCGATCCATGATTCTCAGTGTGCTGTCTGTAGCCGCGTTAGGTTTGCCCCTGGCGATTTAGTCTACAATCTTAATGGGCATAACAAACGGTGGGTCATCCCACTGATTGTGTTCTTCCAGCGTGCTGTCGTCCATCAATATTTGCATAAAGCATAGGACCCGGGTGCGTGTCCAGGCGAAGTTGGTTCTGAACCGGTCAGCAGGCAGGTCCATTAACTGATGTTGTGTAAACCAGGTGTGTGTTGTGGCTTTCGAGGACATGATCACCATAACTGGAATAATCCCTTCCGGAAACGACAGCGACGTTGGCAGCACCGCTCCTTGGACACCCTGCAGTTGTGTCTCCCTGCGCCAATACTTAAGGCGCTTCAAAATGACTGCAGTAGAAGGCCTGCCTCTCCACCCTTCCACCGTAAGGCCATCAGGGTCGGGGGGTTGATGCGGGGGACGATCCGGCGGGGGTCTGAGCCCTAGCAGCCACTGGCCCCCTTCCCTCTGTCGGGATATCGGGAAAATAATCACCCCGGGTGGTGTTCGCGTCAATGCTGTGTCATCAAGTTGCAGCCTCACCCTATCTCGCAAGAGGCCTCTGGGCGGGTCAATATGTGTGTCGTCTTCCGAACCGGATGGCGTGTCATCATCGTCGTCATGCAAAATTTGAATTTTGCGGGAGCGGCGGAGAGGTGATGTCTGCTGTTGGGTTTTTTGTGGTCCCGCTTCCCATGTTAGCAACTGGCTTTGTCCCTCTTCCAGTCGTGCAGGGGCGGCGACCGGCGGGCCGTGCAGGGTGGCACAAAGTTCATGGACCAGCAATTTTGGCCATGCGAGTCCCTCGTGGTGGAATGCATCATCCACAACCTGTAGGCAGCCAGACCCTTGTATTTCGTTATTGTGAACAAACCTATTTCTGGCATACTGCTCGATCTTATCTAGGAATTYGTTGACGACCAAGACGATCGCYGCCCCGAYGTCCATYCAGTCAATGGACTRTACGTTAYTGTAYTYTTCGACAGTAGCCAAAACTCGCGGGGTAAACATCAAGACTTCTTTGKCCTGGGTCCAGTATTTGGTGGAAAGGCTATTCTGTGATCCCTCCTCAGCCATCGAAAATATCTTAGTTAGGGTCCACTCCGTGAGGAATGCCAGTTTCTGTTTGACTTCTTCGTTATCTGCTAGAGGGGGGGTCGGGGCCACTGCTTGGGTCATTTCAACATCTTGTTCCCCCGGGCACGGATCCTCACCATGTTGCAGTGCTGCCTGTACTGGCTCGTCCGGGGCTGAGGTGTCCATGTCTTGTGGCGTATGTGCCTCGGCCTTGTGGCACGAAGGGCCGGGCCCAACTATCTGGGGGCAGTCCAATGTGCAGCGCTGTTGTAGCTTATGTGCTTCCATCTGCTGATGCCAAAACTCCTGCAGCTGCTGCTGCTGTTGTTGCAGGATGATCTCTTGCTGGCAACAGAGCTGCTGTTGCCACTGCAGATGCAGCTGTTGTAAGATCTGCTGTTGGTGCAGCGCCCTTTGTCGGTGTTGCTGGTGATGATACTGTGCCAGGTGCGCTTGTAGGAGGAGGTGGAGCTGGTCCTCGCATTGTCTATGCTGATGCATCTGTTCCTGCACCTCCATCTGTATGTTTTGCTGAGGTGGCAGCATCTGGGGTTGATGCTGTTGCTGCTGCTGCATCACCTGAGTATGATGTTGTTGTTGTTGGTGCTGGTGCCATACCTGCTGTTGCTTCTGGTGTTGCAGCAATTGTTGCAACTCTTGGTCCGACCCGTGATACTGTTGCGACGCCCCGTCCATGCCTTGTCTATTCTGCTGCATCTGTTCCAGTACTTCCGTTTGTGCACTTTGCTGAGGTGGCAGTATGAGGGGTTGTTGTTGTTGCTGCTGCAACTCCTGCGTTTGTTGTTGCTGTTGGTGGTGCTGGTGCCGTTCCTGCTGTTGCATTTGATGATGTTGCAACAGTTGTTGCACCACATGATCTGTCCCGTGGCACTGTTGCGGCACCTCATATTGTTGTTGTTGCTGTGTTTGCGGTTGTGGCAATGGGTGCTGATCGTGTGGCAAGTGTTGCAATTGGTGAACTATGGTTGTTTGGTCCTGCAGCGCCCTGTGGTTGTGTTGGTGCACCGTGAGCAGCTGATCCTGCAGTTGGTGTCGATGGCTTTGTTGGTAACTCAGCTGTTGGTGGTGATGTGGGTGCAACAATGATTGGTCCTGCAGCGCCCCCAACTGAAATTGAGGTGATTGGTCCTGCAGCGCCCCCGGCTGAAATTGTTGTACCAACAGTAGATGGTCTTGTGGCGGATGCTGCAACAATGCAGTTTGGTCCAGCGGCACAGTTTGGTCCAGCAATGGCTTGAGGTGGTGCTGATGTGGAACCAATCTCTTCTCTTGCTGTTGTTGCTCTGCTTCCCCCTGGGGATCCTGTTTCAGTGGTGGTTGGTGCTGCAGCTGTTGGTTCGTTGGTGATTGCATCAGCTGTAGCTGCTGCTGTGGCGGTCGTTGCATGGACTGTTGGCAGGCCGCTTCCAGCACCTCGTCATGTTCGAACTCTAGTTTACGGGTTCGTGATAGCTCATGTTGTGGACTCGCTGGTGGTTGAGGGGGCAAGAATTTAAGTTCTCCCGTCAGCTGCGAGATAACCACATTTGCACAAGAGTGTTCCAGGTGCGGGGCCGGGGGTCCACCCTGTTTCTTGCTTTGCTGCTAAATCAACAGCGGAGTTGGGTGTGGACTGCCCATCCGTCCTTGGGGGTCGTCCTTCGTTTCCTCCCGTTGATGACCGGGCGGCGGCGGTTCCGAACGTTGGGGGAAGGCAACATCTTTAAGCTTGTTCAATAGGGAGTTGGCCTTAAGCCACATTTCCCTAGGTTGAACCAACCTGGACTTCTCCCCAACTACAATTTCACTTCCGCCGCCCTTGGGGTAATGATGCAGCCCTGCGTGGTTGTGGTCATGGCCTGATGCCACCCTGTTCCCTAGGCTTTTCGGTCGAATCTCCCCCTGTCCCTTGCCGTTTTTTAGCCGTCACCCAACGTGCTCCTGCAGCTGAGGGGGGGGTTGTTCTACCCCCCGGCCTGTGCTATCCTGTGGGGGATATCGTTCCAACTGAGGCGGCAAGGGAGACGGAGGGAGAGAGGTGTCGTCAGGCCGGGCGGACGAGGGGGCCGGTCGTTCAGTTTTTATTGTGTCCCTGCGAGGAGACTTTCCAGGATCAGCATCTATTCGTTTCTGTCGTTCTGTGACCAACCCTTGCTCTCCCTCTTTCTTTGGATCATTACTATCACTGATTTTTTCAGACTGTTGCTGAACGGGTGTCAGACCATCATTCTGCTGCTCGTGCTGTGCCTCCCCCTCAGAGCACTGCGGATGTTTATTGTTGGCATTATTTTCCAATTGTGGCTGTACAGATTCAGCATCCATTCGTCTCTGTCGTTCTGTGACCAGCCCATGCTCTCCTTCTTGTTGCGGTTTATTACTATCACTTTTTTTTCCAGACCGTTGCTGGAAGGGTGCCAGGTCGTCTTTTTGCTGCTCATGCTGTGCCACCCCCTCAGGGCACTGTGGATGCTTATTATTGCTAGTAATTTCCAGTTGCTGCGACGCGGGTGCTGGACCATGATTCTGCTGATTATGCTGTACCTCCCCCTCAGGTTTCTTGTTGTTTTTGGGCTTGTATATCTGCTGGGGGGTGGGCATAACAGGCTTGCGTGGTGCCGCCGATCGGTCATGCATGTCAGTGTGCTTGTTCTGCTTTTGACCGCCGTCACTACTTTCGAGGCTATGCTCCCCTTTGCTGGCTGAAAGGCTCTGCAGGCGGAGGTTTTGAGTTTTGGCCGGGCGTAGAGTTTGCTGTCGTTTGGCTTTTTGTTTTTGGTCAACAGTAACAATCAGTTCAGCTCCTGCCGGGGATGCCGATGGCTTTCCTTTCCCCTGCCATATCCACTGTCCCGGCCGACCGTCTACGTGGGCTCTGAACATCCATCCTTGGAGTTCTTGCTCCTCCGGAAACCATCTCTCTTCATCAGTTGGGTGAGGGGTAACAAGGCCTTTGATTCTCAACTTGCGGTCATTGCTCGGACAGTCGCTGTCTGTGCACAGATGTCCTCTATGTTTACAGGCATAGCACGACGGATCTTGGGAATGGCTGATCGGAACTGAGAATTCCTTCCCCCCGAGGGAGTACCTCCATTCCTCATTCAGGGGGAAGGGAAATTCTGAGTCCCATTCAACAGCAACCAACAGTGAGTCATCCCTTTTCCCAAGGAACTGTGGTAAGTCGGTGATATATTCTTTGACACGTGCTATATCTTCTAGATCTGCCAGAATCGCCCCTTGCACACACAAGGGCGCGAACCTGAACTCAACCCAAAAGTTCGTTTTCATAAGGTACTCCCTCCTCTCATTCGGGGATTGTGGGTCCACAGGGGACCAAGCGGACAGTTGCACGTGTTTGCCTCTACACTGCAGTTGATTGCTCTTTAATAGCAGATGCTTGTCCGCTGGATACAGGGCAACAACAGTGACACAGTCGGGGCTGTCCACCTCGATCAGGAAGTGATCCTGAACCAACTGCCGATCTGGTTTGATCTTCTCTAATTTTTCCATGATCCATTTCACTTTCTTGTTGACCGAAAGCGACCAGTGTGCGGACTGAAATCGGAATTGCACTGCTCTTTGTGTGTAAATTCCGTCTCTCATCGCCTGTGCCTGAGGTGAGAAAATCGAATGCGTGTAAATATAACCCTGCTTCACTTGGAATTTTCTTTCCGGTTGCACATATAACTGTTCTATCAGATGACTTTTGAGAGGCGCCATGGGGGTCAGGGTGGATGACCTTCCCAAGTGCGCCCGGTCAGGCGCTGACAGCGCTCTGAGCAGCTGGGGAGGTGGCTTGTGTGCGCCCACCGACGACGAAGACGGGGCCATGGAGCTGCTTACCCCTCCTCCAGTGGATACCAATTTATCCTTCCATGTTACATTATCGTGTTTGTGTGCCACTTGGCCTGCGGCCTGCCATGAGGGACTGTGTTCTCCCTTGTGTTGTTCACGGGGGGTGGGGTCATGTCCCTTCTGTAACGGAAGAACAGCCTGTGCACCCCCATGTTGTGGCCCAGGCGGCAAGCGATGAGGCACAACTGCAGCTGTGGTACTCGCCGTAGCCATCCCACTGCGTTTCCGGTGCAGGAATCGGCCGGGTGCAGGGGGCAGCGTTGTCAGACTGTCGTTGTCAGTCTGTCATGCAGGGGAGTTAGCCTACCTCGCCTGCCTGATCCGGGCGAGTGAGTGGGGTCAATCAAGAATTTGCTCTTCAACAGCGTGGCACCGAAGTTATTTTATTAGTGAAATGGGGGGGAGTAGGGGATGTGTGGCCCGGGCACGAGGGCAGTGTGGGTG